CCAAAGCCTCCACCCCCCCCGACTCCTAGCACAGCACCTCCTCCCCCCTACTACGCCGCCACCCCCACCCCCCCGCAGACACCTCACCTCCATCCCCGAACTCCTCCCTGAAGTACTGGGCAGGCCCAGCCGACACCAAAGCCAGCATAGATAAGGCGGCTAAAAAGGGACCCATTTTATTCCCCCCAAGTGGCAAGAGGCACCTGGCTCGTTAAAAACAAACGGAACCTCAGCACCTCCGCCTGACAGGCGCGACCGACTGCAACCGGCGAGGTGCTTTCGCTGCCTTTTTATACGGGACTTAAAGGAACGTCTGCCTCCGTCGTTCTCTGATTGCTCGCACGGATGCGAACGGGCCTTGCCATTGGCCTGCCCGCGACACGGCGGGGCTGGGCAGCGCCCCCGAACGTTGGCGTCCCAGATGGCCGCTTCTCATTGGCTACCGGTGGTGGCCAATGGCACACCACCACGCGTTCGGGGGGAGACGCCCCCCTCCCCTCTACCACGGGTGCGTCATCGTTTCTCTTTGCACAACCCCACGTGAGCCCGGCGGGCTTTAAAGGGCCAGCGAAAGACAGGTTCTTCCCCACCCAGCCACTCCATCTGGTTAAGGAAGTTGGAGGATTACAGGAAGAGCAGGAATGGTCAGGCAAGGTCCTGCCGTTCGTCTGCCTGAATAGGCTCTCCGTGTCCAAAGCTTTGCACTGAAGTAGAGAGAGCGATCAAAGCAGAGGTGAAAGGACACCGGATTCCAGGTAGCGTCTGCTGCCAGCCCTTGAGCAAAATCGGATGCTGCCCTCCAAGCAGTCTTAAACAGACCAGAGGAACAAAGCCATCGCCCTACGCCTGCCTGTGGTCTCCAGACTTCCAGGCCACAAATATTCTTGCACTACAACGACCAGCTACCAAAGTCAGGGCTTCTGGCAGTTATGTCACAACAACATCTGGGGCCCTTAAGTTTAACCACTGGCCTTGTTCTCTGGAAGTGGACTTATTACTTGTTTTAGCCCAAATTGGGGCCCTTAAGTTTGGGAACCACTGGCCTTGTTCTCTGAAAGTGGACTTATTACTTGTTTTAGCCCAAAGTTGCCATGATTCCAGATAACCACACCTGGATGACTGGAGAATCTTCATAGATACACTGCTCTTGTTGTTCAGGGCTGCCAAGTCTCTTCTGACTCATAGTGACAGCAGCGACAACTTCCACAATGTCCTATCCTCCTGTAAACTCAAGCCTGTGGCTTCCTTAAGGTCAAGGAATCCATCTATCTCCTATTTGGTCTTCTTCTTTTTCTGCTGCCTTCAACCTTTCCTAGCACTATTGACTTTTCCAGAGAATCATGTTTTCTCGTGACCTGTCCTGAGTAGGACAACCTCAGTTTCACAATTTTTGCCTCCAGAGAGAGTTCAGATTTTGTTTGCTCTAGGGCCCACTTGTTTGTTTTTCTGGCGGTCCCGGGTATCTGCACAGCTCTCCTCCAGCACCATATTTCAAATGAATCAGAATTGTTTTCCTGTCACCTTTCTTTACTGTCCACACCCATATATGGTGATCAAAAATATAAGAGTGTAGATGGTTTCTTCAGTGATGCATCACTGGTTTAATGGTGAATTTCTAACTGTATGTGCTCTTCATGACAGTGCCTATAGCCCACCCTTTGCCCAAGGAGTGTCAAAAATGTAGGCAATTATATCAGTCCATATTTATAAATTAGGGACAGGCCTTTTGTAAAACTGCCAATTAAAAACCAAATCACCTTAAAGTACTTCTCTTTACGGCAAGAATAATTTTGAACAATATACTGTTCCTGCAAGAAGCAATTTCTCTTGCAGCTATTGTGAGGATTGCAGCTAATATGAGAAAGAAGAGGGCAGGCTGAGCAAGATAACAGATGATGCCATAGACCCTGCTAATGAGAAAAACGTAGGGCTTCAGTCAAACAAACCCTGGGTCCACTACACCACTGGATGTCATAAATACTGTGGATTACATTTTGTACCCCTAGCAAAGAAGGCATTTAGCAAAACAAGAACGGGGAATAGATCTAGAGAAGACAAAAGGAATCATATAGCCTGGAAGTCATTGTTTTCACTGGATTACCAGGCCTGTAGTAAGTGGTTATACTCCTGACTAGGTAAAGGTAAAGACATTTTTAGTCCAGTCGTTTCTGACTCTAGGGCTCATCCTGTTTTCAAGCCATAGAGCCAGCGCTTGTCCGAAGACCGTTTCCATTGCCACATGGCCAGCGTGACTAGGGAATGCCGTTTTACCTTCCACCGAGGTGGTACCTATTTATCTACTTGCATTGGCATGCTTTCGAACTGCTAGGTTGATGAGGAGCTGGGACAAGCGACGGGAGCTCACTCCGTTGCATGGATTCGATCTTACGACTGCTGGTCTTCTGACCCTGCAGCACAGGCTTCTGTGGTTTAGCTCGCAGCGCCACCACGTCCCTATACTCCTGACTACAAACTGATTAAAAGACAGAGCTAATTTTTCATTTTATACAAAGAAACACACTTTTAAAAGAAGGTGTACAAAAGTGATTACCTTTCACAATACTTAAAATCTGCTGCTTGAAGCAGCTCCCTCAGTCTGTGTAACCAGGACTGGCCCTGGCTAAACAACAAATAAATAAACCAAATAACAACAAAAGAGACCTTGGTATCATCAGTATACTGACCAAATCGAATGGTAGAGCATAAGAAATACTTCAGCAGATATTTTATGTACACTTTATATCTTCAAAAGGGATAGGCAAGACTCATAGAACATGGGAAAACAGAAAAACACTCTCCTCTATCAAGCCATAAAACAAGTAAAAGCTTCCTCATCGACAGTTTATAGTATGCAATTAAATGTTAAACTTTACAAGGCTGAAACTGGTGGCATAGGAATGTGATCCAAATAGAAAATGTACAGATTTCTGTTTCAGATAAAGTGTTAGGCTATTTTTTTCTAATATTCTAGCCTCCTTATTGGTGAGAACTCTACTACTGCTAGATTCATTATATCTTTTTTTGATTATTGTTTGAAATTGATCAACATAAGAACCAGAAGACTGCAAAAAGGGAAGATTATTTTTAACATCTTGAGACTACGTCACCAAAAAGGAACTCCAAAACAAAATATAAAAACCTTACAAAAATATAATTTCTCTCTGTGCTATTGAGAATAATCAGCCAAGAAGTTGTTAAGCCACTAAAACAAAAACTGAAGAAGTGGTTAGGCAACAGGATATGGCAGTTTGTCAGGCTTCTTTCCAAGGGCGGCAATCTACCACTACCACTCCTAAAATGGAGACATTAGGAAGAAATTTCAGAAGGTATGCACAGCACTCAAACTCCATGGCTGTGCCCACTCTGTCCTTCAAAGCAGGTATAAAGTGACTCCATTTATAGCACAGAAATAATAAAAGACTTCTACAGAGTGACCCAATTTATTCTTGACATTGGAGTGTTTTTTGTTTGGTCTGCTAGCTAGCAAAGCAGGTATAAAGTGACTCCATTTATAGCACAGAAATAATAAAAGACTTCTACAGAGTGACCCAATTTATTCTTGACATTGGAGTGTTTTTTGTTTGGTCTGCTAGCTAGACTAAAGCTTCTGGATGACACAATCAAAACAAGCAACCATCATTGTTTTTTCCTTTTGGATGCACAACTTAACATGGAGATGGAGTCTGTTAGGGAAGCTAAGAGCAATGCCATCCGGACTCTGGACAAGCCTGGATTCCCAATAGAGTCACCCAAGGCAAAATGGTCAAAGCTGAGAATCAGGCTGAGATATGCCAACCCTCTTCAAGATTAATTAATGAAACCAAGGATAGTGCTGCAAAATGAGACTCCCAGATTGGAAAATATTCAGTCAGCTAGTAGACAAGAGCAATCAACAAGTACAAATAGAACTATCAGTAACAAAGGTATTAGATTAAAGTAATAGGACAATTAGTGGCTCATGTGCACAGAGGTTAAAGGAAAGTCTGATGCTACATGAGCCATGCAGTTAGAATATGGAATACGAGATGTCTGAATGAAGGGAAAGTAAAAACTGTAAAGAAAGAAATGGAACATTTAAACATTGCAACATTTGGTATGAGCAAACTACAGTATAGTGGAATGGAACAGGCGATTTTCAGTCAGACAATTACAAAGTGTTTTATAGTTGCAAAGACAATAGCAGAAGAAATTGTGTGGCTGTAAAACTGAGGCAAAGTGTTACACAAGCATTAGAAAACCTGTCAGCATAATCACTCAGATCTATGTTCCAACTACATATGCTGAAAAAGAACACATTGAAATACTGTATTTTTATTCAAGTGTCTAGAAGGAAATTGATCATACAGCAAAATGTGATACTTTGATCATCACATGTAACTGGAACACAAAGGCAGGGAGAAAGCAGAACCGAATGTTTGAGAACTTGGCCTAGGAATCTGAAACAAAGCATATAACTCATAGAATTCTGTGAAGCCAACAACCTGTTTATTGCAAATACATGCATCAGGAATTGAACACATTAACATAGCCAGATGGCTAATATAAAAATCAATAAATTATATAATTGGACTACATGGTAAAGCTGTTTTTTTTCTACCAAAACAAGATTAGTAGTTGCAAAGACAATAGCAGAAGAAATTGTGTGGCTGTAAAACTGAGGCAAAGTGTTACACAAGCATTAGAAAACCTGTGAGCATAATCATTCAGATTTATGCTCCAACTACATATGCTGAAGAAGAACACATTGAAATATTTTTATTCAAGTGTCTAGGAGGAAAATGATCACAGAGCAGAATGCGATTCTTTGATCATCACAGGTAACTGGAACACAAAGGCAGGGAAAAAGCAGAACCGAATGTTGGAGAACTTGGCCTAGGAATCTGAAACAAAGCATATAACTCATAGAATTCTGTGACGCCAACAACCTGTTTATTGCAAATACATGCATCAGGAATTGAACACATTAACATAGCCAGATGGCTAATATAAAAATCAATAAATTATACAATTGGTCTACATGGTAAAGCTGTTTTTTTTCTACCAAAACAAGATTAGGAGCAGATTATGGTATTAACCTTGACTTGTTAACACCAAAAATTATAGTAAACCTGAAAACACTAAAAAACAATCATAATACCAAAATATAATTTAAGTAACATTTATGATTAATTTAAAGTCCATGTTAAGAACTATTTGCATTACTAAACTCAACTGACAGTGAATAGAAGAAGTGCGGATTGAGATATTTTTAGGGAAGGATACAAAAACATTATTCCT